AAAGTGAAACACACATTTTCATACGTATAAAAGTTGAGATTTAGGTGTTAGATATATAAATACATAAGAATTGAGTGGTATGAATGTAAATCTTCCTAAAAAAAGAATAAGCAAATCTTTCTCACCAAATCTTAAAATCTATTAGTTTTCTTATTTAAAAGGCTTTCTTTCCAATTCATGCATTAATTAATTAGCCTTCTTCAATTAATTCAGAAAAAAAAAAAGAGTAATCTTCACATTAATAAAATAAGCAACATTTTGAAAAGCATTTTCCTGAAGGTTGTTGTTCAAGGCAATTGTTTGGAGGAACCTTCTGGCTGCCCACCAAATACATTTATATCTAACTCCTAAATTTGTTTTTTACATTTATACCAGACAAATGAGCTTCTTAGCAAAATTATCAACTTTATATAGATCAGCGTCTTAGCTAAATTCAACTAAAGCAGAGCCAAAGGAAGCCTAATGCAAAGCTATAAGGCCAAATTACCTATATTTTCCCTTCCAACATCACTAAACTACGTAATTTCTACTCTTCCTACACCTAACTTCTACTACTTCATGTTTTCATTAAGTAAACCAGGAACCAAAAACAAAAACACTAATTCAAAGATGAGCACTCCCATAGGGAAACTAGGCATGAAGAAATATTACCATGGACTAAAAATAAGCAATGAACCAATTATACTGAAATAAGGAATCCACCCTACAAGAAGTAAATAGCAGGTTCCATTGATAGAATCGATAAGACCATGAGTCATTCTATAGATCATTCCATGATTCACAGGATTCAAACTACTAACCAAAACTAAAAAATGAACAGTGAATTGCGTTCCATGAACGTCTAAACATGTATTATGAGTTTCACAACAATTAAATGAAGCGCAAAACAATTAACTACAAAAATATCCCAAAAAAAAAGAGTCATTCTTGAAGGGCTGCAAAAAAATTTTGAAGGACTGCAAAAAGCGGAATCTTTTCCATATAACTCCTAAGTATGCCACAATTGATGTTCTTTGGTGCCAATAACAATTGCAGCATGAATACATGGTAACCCAGTCATTTGTCAAACTTTGTAGCTACATTCTCCGCTTTAAATATTTACTTCATATCTATTAAAAGACCCTTCGACCTCAATTGTGTATGGTGTTGATAAGCGCACCAGGAATTGATATTTTATAGTACTAATATCTCTTAAGCAATCCTCTACATGTGGCACTAGATGAAGTTAACTTCCTCTCTGCCCATAGTTCCATAAGCATTGCTCTCAGCACATCAACTAAATCAACCACAGGCTTGCTCTTGTATTCCTCAATCAATACATTAAAGGATTCAGTCATATTATTTGTATTGTAATGATTTTTTTATCTCAGGTATGAAATCACTTCCTGACCACTTGTAAGACAAACCTAATAAATGAGAGTGAATCTGTGGGCATATATTGCATAACTCATTCATATTGCATTTAAATTAATGCTTAGCAACTGCCCAGACCAAAATTTTAATCCTTTGATTGTTATTACAACAAAAAATTTCTTCAAGTTCTTTCATTGATGGCGTAGACACACCCTATGCTTCGCTTCTGGAAATACTTGGGTGATTGCAACGTCAAGGCTTTTCTCCAATTCTGATATAAATGTCAAGTTCTATAAGTTAGTGTTAACTGATTTTGCCAAATTTTCTAAGAACCACTTCCAATAGTTCTTTGACACAGATTTCGCTAGTGAAAATGCTACTGTGAATTAATTGTTGTTATCATCCAATAAATTTGCAGATAATAGAATGCCTATGTATTTGACTTTAAATGATAAGCAACAAGACCAATCAAATACATACAACTTGACAGCAAAACAATAAATAAAAACCTTAAAGCTCACATAGAACCTCTCTAAGAATAAATCATAGATTTCTTCTGATAAGCTCTTCAAAAAGCGTTGGTACCCATCTGTAATTATTATTAACCGACACAAAAATGTTCTCCTGAGCTAATTCTCTTGACCTCCATAATCTCATATATGGCAAAGATAAACCCTGTGTGCAGTCTATGTTGTTCTTAATTTGCTTTATAGTGATGTTAGAATTTTCTTAAATAATTTTCAATTTCTTTTGTTACTCAAGATGTTGTTGCTAGTTTATTTTCTGCTCTATTCACACCTGAGCATGACTATGTTGGTTCTAATCTTTGTGCCTCAAAGATTTTACCATCTCCACATAATACAACCCGTACCCTCTAAGGGCACCCACGATAAGAACAAGTAGCAACAGCATGAAATCGATCACTAATGTGTAATCTCCATACCAATGTTCCTCTTGATGGCATTAGATTTGAGAGCTTGTTTGAAACTTTGTGAATTGTGAAAATGTGTCCCAACCAATAACTCTTATCTTCCGTATCTTCTCTTATTACAAGCCCCTCACTAAAAACATCTTGATCAATGTAAACATTATGAATACTATTAGATCTTGAGTGGTACATATCTAGCGTGTTACTTCACTCTCCTGCTTCTCAACTATATGTGCAAATAGTAGTTTCTCAATTATCTTGCATTGTGACCACCACCTTAACTCAACCATTTCTGCTAGATTGCGCAATCATTTTCATCACTTTCATACTTTCATGCCATCAGAATAGTCATACTTTTTTGGCAATGTACCAGATATGTGATAATGTAACTCAAAATTATGACCTCTAAGCCAATGATAAATTATCTCTTTCTTTTCCTTCAACCAATGTAAAGTCACGGTATTTTTTTTAAATGCAAATGCTCTATGTTTCCCACCATCACATCTTTTTTTCATTTGATTTTTAACTTGACTCCAATTTCCACCATATTTAAACACGATTAAAAAATATGTGTTCTCCTCTACCATTGAAGTCATTCCAGTAATCAGATCAACAAGTTAGCTTGAAAATTCAATCAAATGACTCATGTAAGAAAATAAAATATAGCAAAAATTGATTTAGTAAAAGCTAGCTCATTACAAAATAATAATAATAAAAGAGTCGCAGAAACATTGCAAACAATTATCATCATGAAATCAAAAATATATTTCCAAAAAATCATCGTCGGCTAATAAAACTCTAAAAATGATTTATATGCTACTCATGGCAATTGATATAAGACAAAATCTATAGCATCATAAGCATATGAAGTATTTTTGCATAGGTAATGTGACATCTAAGTTAAAATTTAATTTTAGGTGTTAAATAAAATACATAAGAATTGAGTGGTATGTATGTAAACTTTTGTGTAATATTTTGTCTTTAGAAGCACGGTTACTTCTTTTTTATTTTTCTATTTTTTTCATTCATGCAGTGATTTCGTCAAATGATTCTGCTAGCACAGCTTTCAAATGCATGATAAAAGGTGCAACAGACTTTTTTTTTTGTAAAGTCTATCTGAAAGAAAGAATTAAAAAATATTTGGCAGCATGTTTTGAAAAAACAAAAAGAAATCTTCTTCTATCCATACATTTCAAGGGCATTTACATACATAGCACACATTTCTTATGTATTTACATATCTCAAATCTAAACATTCATATTTACACATAAAAGACATTTGCCAGCTCTACCAGTGCTACATGAAGAAAGATTCCATCATCTCCAATTATATGGAGATTACCCCAAGCAGTTGAGAACTTAGTGGGCCCAATACATGTTAAAGGTTTGCTTTAAGTCAAAAATCTAAACTTTCCATTGTTTATTCAGAATTGTTCTCAGGGCAGAAATTTGGGATTTCCATTCATTGTTAAGTAAGATAGGAGTTTCAATAATGGATCAGTGATACTGTATGAAAATGGAAATTCTTATGTTTTCTTCATAATAAAAAAAGAAAAAGTGCATGGATGATAGCTAATCTAAGACAAAAATAACAATAAAGTGAAAAAAATTTGAGCAAACAACTGAAGATATTGCCTCAGGTACATTCATAAACTTAGCAAATGGAGCTGTACCGCACAGCTAGAGAAGTGATTTTCGGCATCACCTTCAGCTTTGCTTGCAGAAATCATCAATGGAGCAGTATATTAAATACATTCTCTCGTGAGCCAGACTCATGAGGGGTCGGTCTTAGTGAGTCAGACTCGTTAGCCGGCTCGAGCTCAGCTTCTAATTTCACGATCTAGTTGCTCTCAAATTTGCATATTAAATACATTCTCCAATTAAGTGTCAAGTGTATACTATATTTTCTTTTCCTATGTTCAGATTATTTTTTTCCTAAGTGAACGTACATTAAAGTTTAAATCCCACACACACACACACACACACATATATACTCAAATTCATCCATTCCATCCATCCATCCATCCATCCATCCATCCTGTATGTATGCATGCATGCACGCATGCATGCATACATACATACATACATAAATACATACTCAAATTCATCCATTCCATCCATCCATCCATCCATCCATCCATCCTGTATGTATGCATGCATGCACGCATTGCATGCATACATACGTATGTATGCATGCATGCATGCATGCATACATACATACATACATACATGCATGCATGCATGCATATTCAAAACAATTTTATGAAACGCATGCATATAAATGTAGACAATTTTATTAGTATTTATGACAAAAAAACAATCTTTATGAAACGCATGCATATTCAAACAATTTTATAGACAGGCATGATTAAAACCATACTTTATAGCAATAGCATCCATACGAAGCAATTAGGTATTAGACAATAATTATCTCGAAATAGGGCGTCTAAGTGAGATCATGTTCAACACCATATACTGAATCTTGATCTTGAGACTAAAGTGGAGGAAAAATAAATTTGAACTGTCATACATTTTATTATAGAAAAATTTACATACATACCACACAATTCTTATGCATTTACATATCTAAAATCTTAAATATGATATTTACATTTATATCACCAGATATTAAAAATCTATGTATGAAAAGATATATCGCTTTTAAAAAGTTAGTGATAGTGATATTTTTTGCCGTGATTCCAAATATTTGAGTGTTATAAATGTAAATAGGAAAGTATAGGTGTTAGATATATAAATAGATAAGAATTGTGTGGTGTATATATGTAAATGCCACTATTTTTTACCAATCCTCGAGCAAATCTCAATATAAGTTGTTATCAAATACCCACGGTTCATGGACAAAGAGCTCACGGCCATTCATCTTTGTTGTTCCTGCAGCAATATCTTCTGCACGTTTCCTAGCTGCTGCATCTCTTCTTAATGAGATATCAGCATCCTGCAGAATGGAAGGAATGATATAATTTTGATCAGTTGAGCAGCTCACAACGGAGGCATATAGATCATAAAATGGTATATATGCATATATATAAAGATGAATTTCATTAGTTTTCATAATGATTTACAAACATAAAACATCATCATCATCACCATCATAATTAGCATTATCCCAAATTTTTGTGATCAGCTAATTCCACATTGATTCTTTTTGAATGTTGAAGTAAAGATTAAGCTCAATCTGTGCAATTTTTTTTTTAACAATCTCTATCAAAATGTGATCTAAAGGCTGCCCATTTTTTCTTCTTAATCTTTGGCACTAGATAACTACGCATCTAATGATGTATTTTGACACTGCCTACATATCTAAAACACTTATTCATCTTTAAAATTCGTTCTTTTTTAATGTTGAATGAAAGATTAAGCCCATTGTAACGCCTGTTCAAAAAAAAATTTTTTTGAACCATCAAATGAACCAAAACCGGGCATTCATCGGTTCATTGAAGGCGAAAATGACAAACGAAAAGGAGGCGAAGCCTCATATGCACCGAGCAACACGAAGTCAAAGGGGACAGATAAAGAGGAGTTGTGGGAGTGTATAACAGGAGCGCGAGTAAGATCAAGTAGTGCCTGTGAAAAATAGATAAGTGCATGAGCTTGGGTAGTTATGTGAGCAAGGCAGCAATGCAGACTCATACTGAAAGCTAGAGAGGACAGTGCACGAATAGACAAAACCGAACGATCCATGAACGACTATCGAGCTTGAGTTGAGACTAGCAAGAGAGGATTCCTCCATGCAAAAGGGGGAACGAAATGAGAGATTTCTCGTATGCAAGGGGGAATGAAGTGAGAGGTTTAGTGTGTAGAATTAAATGAGATATACTTGATCGGGTGTGGACAAGCAGTACACAGTGCAACACCGAGCTGAAAAAGAACAAGGGCCAAACAAAAGTTGCCGAAAGGATTGATCACGTTGAGGTTGATCAAGTCGGATAAGTTTTTAATTAGATTTTAGATAAATTGTAAACTCTAGCTTTAGATAATATTTATTTTATAAGCAACATTCAAAGAAAGCATAAACGAGAGATTTCTCTAATGCAAGGGGGGATGAAGTGAGAAGTTTAGTGTGTAGAATTAAATGAGATATACTTGATCAGGTGTGGAAAAGCATTACACAGTGCAACACCGAGCAGAAAAAGAACAAGGGCCAAACAAAAGTTGCCGAAAGGATTGATCACGTTGACGTTGATCAAGTCGGATAAGTTTTTAATTAGATTTTAGATAAATTGTAAACTCTAGCTTTAGATAATATTTATTTTATAAGCAAGATTCAAAGAAAGCATATTTTGATTGGACATTCATGAGCAAAAAAGCTAGCGATCAATATTCAGTAAAGTGCAGAACAAAATTTAGAGTTGAGATTTTAGTAGAAAAATGATTTAGATTAATATCTATTTAATTTTTGCTAATCGTAAATGTGAAATAAAGTAAAGCTAATTTAGAGGCTTATTCAAGAAAGTTAGATATTTTTGGAAGAAAAGATAACACAAAGTGCAAATAATGTATATAAATTTATTATTTTTTGTTAATAATATACGGCAGAAATGGAAATATTACAAAAAATTTGAAAAAGAATTGGAAGGTTAGACTGAAATTAAACAAGTGATACATAATAAATTGTAGTCAATCAATAAATTCTTATGGATCCATACCTCCCTCAAATTTTAGTAGATCCATCTTAATTTTGTAGAATCTGTGTCCTCCAACTGATGTCACCTCTCTAGGCCTCTTTAAATACTGGATTCTACAACACCGTGGCCTTTCATCTTCATTACTAACAACATCCATATCGCAAGGGTTGAAATTTTCATCTCTTTCTCCTCTTCGACTTTCCTTGTCACCATCGAGGGCAAGTCCATCCAGGGTTTCATCCTCAATGCCCGTCAATTTCCGCTGGAAGTCAGCAGATCTCTCGTTTTATCTCTTCCCGAATAGGTTCGTGCATTTATCTCCTAGGTGGCATGATTAGGGTTTGGGATGTGGAAGTGGAAATGGTATTTGGTGGTAGAAAGAAAATTTTTGGCTTATGGAGGATGTTAGAAAATGCTAGGACATGCCAAGAGTTAGGCTAGTTTTGATACCAAATGACACTGGAGTTAACCCAAATCACAAAGGAAACTATAAATATTATTGTTAAAATTCAAACGATTACAACGAGACACTTCAAACAAGTAAATAAATGACAGACAACACCCTGGAGAAGGACGACGGTGCTGGGTGGTGGTTGGATAGTAAGTGGAGGGGCGGGTTGGATGTTGCGAGTACAGTGGAGGGATGGAAGGGCTAGCCGCAGCCCTAGAAGGCAGAACTGAGAGCAGGCCACAGTGAGAAGGCGAGGGGAAAGGCGGCAACCGCTGCTGGAAGGCGGGAGGGCAGGTGGCAAAGGGTTGGTGAAGGCGGAGAGGTGTTACAACATCGAGTGGAGTTATTGTTTGGGTTGCGGCAGCAGCATGGAAGGGGGTTTAGGGGTTGGCGGTAGGAGAACAGGGGAAGAGAAGGTGTGCAAATGGAAGAACAGAGAGTGGTAGGGGGCAGAGAATGAGGAGATCGAGGATAATCGCCACCTCGAAGTGAGATACAACAGGAGCATCACTCATCCTCAAATACCACCCTAAAAAGGAAAAAAAAAAGGATGTCGATGGCTATCCTAACAAAAATATGAAATAAAACTCACAAAATATAACCTAAATTCAACGAACACACATATAAATGAGGAGGGAATAGGTGGTAAACTAAAAAGGTACGAAAATAAGGAGGTAGAAAGTTCTACCCCTATTGAAGGTCGACCGGTCCAACATGGGCTGGAAGGGGACCCCACTTGGTCGAGTCAGTCAGCCACCTCTCAGATTGGTTCACCCGGTCTCCCAAGCCCAAATCAATGACAAGTTTGAGTAAAATTTTTAACAACCCGTCCAAATTGGCATCGTTTAATTTTCTTATTAGTTTTGTGTTTTTTTGTGAAGGTTCAATTGCATCTAATAAGTTTCTTTCCTTCTGGTAAGTGAAGAGTTTTAGGCCACGTTTGAAAAGTCTTTACCTTTCATAATAGTTGGTTTAAAAGCGACGTCCCAAAAAAATTTATTATAAAATTAAGATAGGAAAAATGATATGGTTTTTTGAATAAAAATCCGGTAGGAACTTTTTAGCTCAGAATTCTTTTTCGGACCGTCGTTGTGCTGTCTCTAATGCCACATCGATTCCGATTTAGTCATCATAATTTACTAATAGCAGACTACGCATTCCTCCAAGTCAATCAAGCCCTCGGATGGACTCTATCAGGAAGAACGACGATAGCAACGAGACTAAGACGGGTGAGGAGAAATGGGTATCGCCAACCCCGCAACCGCCTGAATGCTCTTCTACCTCGTCTAATCCGCTTCCATAGCAGCCGAAGAAGCTTGAGTCAGGCGACTGTTGTGGGAACGCCTGCTTCCCTGCAATGATAGAGTTGTCACTGAATGTGTGATTTATGGTTTTTTTCGATATTTTACATGTGAAACACTGAACGGAAGCTCAAAGCAGTAAAGACTTTGCGGTTTGAAGCGACAAGAAAATCGGTGCGTTCGAAGAACGTCTAGAGACATATAGATGGAATTTCTTAACAAAAATTGGATAAAATTATTCTTTCCCATTACAGTCCTTAGGTCCTAGATATAGACTTTAAATTGGGTTGTACATATAGATGGAATTCCTTAACGATTTGGCAAGTTTCAGATCTGTCCTTCATTAGAAAAATCCAAATAGCTCTAATGTGGACATTTACAAAGAATATAAATCACCTAGAGATATTGGTAACACGTAAGGGTCCTCAAATGTCTAGGATAAGTGTTTTGGGCGTACTGTGATAGTTGAGAAATTTTACTTCAAAACTCAAAACTTAAAAGAAGAAAGAAAAAACATTTTTAAGATACATAGAGCTTGGATGACCTCAAAATGACTGCACTCAATATTAGACGATATACATAGTAAGCATGTTTAACTAGTATAGTAAAATTTTCTTCATTATCCATGAGGTGGAGTTGCATTCTTTTTCATATTGTTAATCGCCTTCCTCGATATTGCATCGAATTCACAATGAGTAGTGTGAAATTCTAGGAGTTTCCTATATCATCTTTATTTTCTTTTATTATTTTCTTGTTATATTGTATATCTTTCCATTTTGTGCTGTTTTATTTTTTGGTAAGTTGTCATTGTCTTAGTTGTATGCCATATAATAAGAGGAAATATTGTAATTAGAAAAGAAAAAAGAGAATATAGCTTCTTCAAATTTCCTCATAGTATCAGAGCTTCGTCGGATCATTCTCGTTGACGCCGTTCATCTTCATTTTCATTCAGGTGGTCTGCATCACTAGACTTCATTGTTGTTTGTTTCTGGATCACCAGACGTTTGGGTCGTCTATCTCCTTCCTGGTGTGCGCTTGACCAAGAAGTCGAAGCCCTTGCATCTGCCTCTAATCAACAGGTTCACGAAAGACAGATCATCGTATCACAACATAGAGAGGCCCTTTTGCTTTGCTCGTCTCTACCGTACACACGAGCCGTGAAATCCGTTCGAGCAAAATCCTCCTTGCAACCACCAGGACCCCTTCAGCGAGCTTGAGCTTGCAGGCCCTCAGCACATTCCTACAACCTCCGGAGCCTCTCGAACAACCCTGCATCCGCCATAATCCCTCCTTTGTCAGCCTTCAGTCATAATCCCTGCGACAACCCTTATCTGTTGACACTACCTAACTCTTATTTTCTGCAACCACCAGTTTCCCTTCAGGCCATCCCTCTGGTGAGCCAACTGCCTCTTCCAAAGGATTGTAGTAAGCAGCTTGTGAGATTTATTCCAATATTGAATATGTTGCATTTGCTGAAGTTAGAATAAAAGAAAGTAGAAAGAAACTTATGATGGTAGAAAGTGCGGGTTCATTTGGCACTGAAAGCTCTGCTTTGTAT